GAAATTAAATGGGGAGGGAGGCATGGGGCCGGCGGCATCCATTGGGTGGAGGGGATTGGGAAGAAGAGTTAATGCTTGCCTCTTTGGGACTCCTAATTAAGGAGGGAGGAATTACTTCCAATCCAATTCAAACTTGATTTGGATTTGATTGGATAATTTCATAAAGTAGAATTTTATTTTAGGAAACAATTTGGATTTGGGGAGAAGAAATTTGAATTATTTCAAAGAGGTGAGATTGGGTTCAAGAAATAAATCCAATGACTTAATGATGATGGGGCCGACGGCTTAATGGGCAAGAGGGGAGTTTAAGGAAGCTTTTAATGCTTCCTTAAATTAGGGAATCAAATTTGGGATGAGATATTTCATCCTAATTTAAATTAAAATCAATAGGAGAGGATTCGGGAACTTTCCTAAGATAGGAATCTATGATGCACCGACACTTCTCCTCAAAGAGGCGTGCAGTGTCCGACACCGTGTCCGACACGACACTCGTCCGACACTCCTCCGACACGTGTCTGATTAAAAAAATATTAAAAATAAATTGGACACGCGTGTACGCCGACACGCGTATCTTAAATATTTTATAATTTTTTTAAAATATAATTTCTTATATTTTGCGAGATTTAAACTAAAATTCTTATTTCATATCCACAACACCAAATCAACGTTTGCATTTAATACCCATTCATCGAATATTTGCATTTTCATTTCTCTTTGGCAGTGAAGGTATTTTCATCTACTCTCTTTTTGCACAATTACAAATCTTTCTCTTGTTGAACCAGAGTTGAAAGTGGTGATGTTCAATGATGATGATATTGAAGACCAAAAACAAACCTCTAAAGTTAATCTTAATAGTTGAAGCTTGAATGCTTGATGTTGTAGTAAGTGATTATTTGCTTATATTTTTATGGTTGTACTAGATATTTTGTAATAAATATTTTATATTATAAGCTAGACAAGTTATCATGTCATTCATTTATTATTGTTTGTCATTTTTAATATGATATTACATTAATATATATACACTATATAAAAAAATGTATTGCCGTGTCCGCGCCGTACCCGTGTCCTATATTTTCAAAAAAAGTCGTGTCCCGTGTCGTGTCGTGTCCGTGTCGCCGTGTCCGTGTCCGTGCATCATAGATAGGAATGATATTTTAGGTAACTTTTCAAATTCAAATAAATTTAAATTTTGTAAAGTTATTGAGTTACCTAAATTATTCAACCAAATTAAGAAAGGAGTAATTGTAGGCAATGATGGAGAGAAATTCCAAAGAGGAAAGGGGGCAGCTTGGGCTTGGGTTCAGTTGGATGAAGGGCTGGCGAGTGGGGTGGGGCTTTGGGTAAGCGGGTCGGTGGTTGTAGTGGGGAAGGAGGTTGGTGGCTTGAGGTGGCGGTGGTGGGAGAGGGAGGACCGGTTTTGAGTGTAGAGGGAGGAGGGGTTGGATGGCTTGGTGGTGGGAGACGTTTGCCGAAGCAAGGTGGGGGTGGTTAAGGGAATCCAACGGTTAGAAGGAAAAGAGATTGAAAGAAAAGAACGATAAAATAAACCATGAACCCGGCCGTCTCCAAGATTGGTGAGTGACCCGTTTTCCCTCCATAGGGATCTCTAAAAAGCTCTCCTAGAACTTTCACAAGTCAAAGAACACATGTGCAGGAATTTTCTTATAATTCATTCATTACCCCTCAAAGAAGAAGAGGGAGGCTTTAAATAGCCCATACAATGAGAAAATAAAAAATACTACAATGCCCTAGGGCTTATACATACCTAAGCCCTTAAGGGCATAAATTGAAAAAAAAAACATAATAAAAACTAATACATCGATAATGAATACTAAAATAAAAAATAGAGCGGTAAAATCGTGGCCGTAGATCAACAGCCACGCCTCTAATAAATCTTCCATGTCCTGATGTCCCCATCAATTTAATTGCTAAATAATCACAATTCTAAGTAGGAAGTATGAGATTACATGATGTACCAAACATAATTATGTTTGATAGAGATGAAAGATGTACTTCAAAAATTGTAATAGACAAAATTTTTGGCACAAAATTAAATTAAGAACAACATTTTATCTTTAGCAATATGTAATGTGACAATCATACAGACTTTGGTGATTTATTAAGATTATGTTAAATGTATCCCGCATTATTCGAAAGAATTAAATAGAATCCAAAAAGTTTTCTGAGGAGTCATGACTTAAAATTTTAAATTCAATATATTCCACATGCATATGATATAGTAAAAATTTTATTAAAAAGATTATTAGTAGAACAAAATGACGTGTGCAATATTGAAGGATGAATTTAACATAGTAAAAGCATTTACAAGAAAGATCTCTCAATCTTAGTATTTTTACATACTTAAAGGAAAAACTAAATAAAGCAGTTGATAAGAAAGTTGAGGGGAACTAAATTAGCTTTCAATAACATGTAAGCATCTTAAAACTTGTAATTACAAAAAATTTGAGAAAATTATACCCAAGATACCGAGAAATGGCCAACAAATCCAAATCTAAGAAACTTGGCTTGAATATTAAATATATTTATATAATTCTAATTAAAATTAACAAGGATAATCATAATTAATGATAAATAATAATATTTTTAGTTCATTTCACCAGTAATGCATAAAAAGTGAGCATGCATGTAGCATATAGTGACACATGCAATAACAAAGAGCTAGTATAGTGGCTAAGTAAGAGATAAAAGAGATATAACTAAGGAAATGTGCTTTCTATAACAAAATAACAAAGGAAACAATGAAAAAGAACGAGAAAAGCGATGGTTCAACTTGAAAGGCTTTTAGAGATCAAATGCCTTAAAATTTTCTTCTATTTAAGAGATGGGATTCCATTACCCTAACTTAAAATCTATGAAATTTCAATGTTGCAATATGTTTTAAAAGAGCATATGTGCTGAAAAAAAAAAAACTTAAACATAAAATTATACATGGCTTTTAAAAGTTATACTTAGATGATAGAAATATCTTCATATTGAATTTGTTGTGATTTCTACCTGAACACCTGACGATGCTTATGGAATGTCAAATTCATGAGACCCTAACTTGATTCATGGTATATTTCACTCTAATGAAAACAAAGGCATAGATTGTAACATCAACATAAAATTTAATTAATGAAATCATGCATATCCAAAGTTTATACAGGTACATGAATCTAACAAGTTATACTTTGATGATGGAAACCTCTTCATATTGAACTAGTTATGATTTCTATATGAAGACTTGTGCAAGATGCCTATGGAATGTTAAATTCGTAAGATCCTAACTAAATTAATGTTATATTTCATCACTCCAATGCTGCTTTGCATATTCAATGAACAAGCCATGAGTTCGGACATGAACATAAAATTTAATTCATAAAATAATGCATGTAACTTCATGGTTATTTTATATATGTATTTCTACATGATTATAATAACATGAAAAGTATCCTACAAAATTTAAATGTAAAATATAGAATATTTATGATGTGATTATTTACTTGAGCTCTTATGTGGAATTATGCAAAGCTGTGTAAGTAAAGACATTTTATTTTATGAAAATAACTCCATACATTATTGTACATAAATATGCATATAATGAACTATATTAATTATCAATATATATGTGCATAATCAAAGAATAGATATTCAAATAATGATTCACAATTGCGTAGATCTAAGTAGCATCCCTGCACAAGGTAAGTTGAAGAACCTGTCTGAATGATTAAATGAGAACATGTGCTCGGTTCTATATGATGCACATGAGAATGAATGAATGAATATGTATGAGCTTGAGAATTGCAAATCATGATGAAGGAATAGATAAAAAAATCTGATGAAGGAATAGATAAAAAAAGCTGACAAACCAACCTATATGCATTAGGATGATGATCCTAGCAAAGAACAAGAAGACCCATTGTGCTACTACGTCTATGATGATAAAATGGCATGAAATGAAAGATATTTATACAACAACAACAACATCAAGCCTTTGTCCCACTACATGGGGTTGGCTACATGAATCCTTTTTCTCAATTGTATCCTATTAAAAGTCAAATTCTCGTTTAAATCAAATAAATAAAGATCATTTCTAATATTTTCTAACTAAGTCTTTTTAGGTCTACCTCTACGTTTCTTAACATAAGTCAAATCTAATATCTCTACTTTCCTAACCGGGTCATCGGAAGGCCGTCATTTTATGTGAACAAACCCTCTGAGGTGACTCTCTCTAATCTTATGTTCCACTAGAGCTACCCCAACCTTTTCATGTATATGCTCATTTCGTATCTTATCTCTAAGGGTAAAGCCACTCATCTACCTGAGCATCCCCATCTCTGCAACACTTAACTTAGTATTATGCTTCTCTTTTAATGGTCAACATTCAGCACTATAAAGCATTGCAGGTCTCACCAGCATCTTATAGATATTGCAGGCAAAAAAACCTTTAAACTCTATGATTGACCTTCATAATTTAAGTTTACCTTCAACTCCCTCTATAGTCTTATCAACAAAAAGAATATCATCAGCAAAAAGCATACACAAAGGTACATCCTCTTGCAAATGTCTAAAATGAAAGATAATTATACCAATGACTATTTTATGAGTTGTGATAATATTCAATATTTATGATACGAATGATGAATAAAATGAAGTGTCACTACATCGTGAATAAATTTATGATTAGGCATAAGATCAGAAAATGATTCATGTACAAGATACAATGAAATGTTTCATGTGAAATTATGATATGATTCTCATGATAAAAGAATATGGAAATCATGCATATCATACCTCTTTTCAAGTAATGAATTCTCTAGTAATGTACTAGGTTTTGTATCATTGGTAGCTTCGGTTTCTATGGCCATTAACCGAACTATGATTACAATTTAGATAAAAGTTCAAAGCATTGTGAAAAGTAGAATGTCAGGATCAAGGTACAAATTAAAAGCAAAAAAAAGGGATTATTTCCCTACAAAAAGACCAACAGAAAAATGTAGAGATGATGAACATAAATCATGACCTCATAATGTAAAAAACAAAGTTACATCAATTCACTTGGAAAATCAACTTCACTTGTGATTTAACCACGCAAAAAAGAAGTTTCTTTAAGGGAAAATCAAGCAGTGTATCTGAGACACAAAATACCAGACAGAATAAAATCCTAAATAAATAAAAGCAGAGAGAATTACACCAATTAAGTGTTTTTACCCAACAAGGCAAACAAGAAAAGTAGATTTCTAGTCAAAAAGACTGAAACCCATATCATCGTCGCTCTCCTCCTTTGGCTCTTCCTGCAAATTAACAACCAAACGCCATAAACAAGGTGGCAACCAAAAGGGAAAGTTATTTTAGCATGCAATATCTACAAGAAAATAACACAACAACAACCTTTTTCTCCTCAGCCGCAGGGGTTTCTACTGCAGCACCACCGCCGCCACCAGCTGCTGGAGTCGCTACAGCCACAGCAGCTCCACCTCCACCTGAAACCACTCAAATATAAAATTTAACGTTTATGATGCTTTCTTTTGCAAAACAAATTGAAGTAACATAGAACATATAGAGAATAGTCAGAGAATATCCAAGGAACAGATGGCTTCACAATGAAGAAAAAAAAAACCTGATCCGACGCTAAGGATGAGATCCTCAACGCTCCTCTTTTCAAGAAGCTTCGCGAAAAGGGTTGCCCAGTAAGATTCGACTGAGATTTTCGCAGCCTTCACCAGCGTAGAGATCTTCTCCGCCTGCTCACTCAAAATGAAATAGAAACCCTTCAAATTAATGTTCAAGAATGTAATTCCAAAATCTATCAATATGCTGGTAGTACCGTGATCGGTATCCCATCGTCATAAAGTATGAGAGAAGCGAGGCTGCAAGCGATCGACATCTTTACAAGGGCGATTGGCTGTCGATGAAGAAAGTAGAAACCCTAATTCTAATTAGAACCGACGGCTGCATTTTACCTCGGTGGACCCTTTTATAACACAATACAAAATCTAGGGTATTTGTGAAAATTTTTTTAGCAAATAGTTTTTTTAAGATTAAGAAAAAAACTATTCTATTTATTTAACTTAATTATATTATAAATTATTAAATTATTTAAAATTAACTGAATTAATTTAGTTAAATAAAATATTTATTTTATTTACTTTAATTTTAATTAAATAATTTTAAAATTTGTTATGATTGTTTTTTTTATTTAGAATATTTTAACATAACTTTTTTATTATTAATAAAATAATTTAAATCATTGTAGTAAAAGCTCGATAGTTATTTTAGTTTTTTGAGGCTTTATGACACAGTCTTATATAAATAAAGAAAAGACAATATATCCTAAAATAATTTGTATTATGTTACACATAAAAAATATTAAATTTATTTTGATATAGTATCATGTAAATTTTACATATATAAAATTAATTTTAAAATAAATATTATAATTTTTAAACTCATCATAATACAAATTATTCAAGTATTTCATGGTGATAAGTCTTGAATAGATAAAAATCCAAACATTAAATATTAAAAAAATTGTCGTAATCTATTATTATGATAGAAAAAAAAAAATTATTTTTAAAAATTAAATTAAACATTAAGAAAATAGATTTATTAGTATTTAAGTATAATTCATTAAACAATATTTGAGAAAGCAAATGATTAAAATGGTCCTATAATACCTATTCTTTTTAATCTCATATTTTTTTAACCTACTCATTTTAGTCTATTAACTTATTAAAAATGAAACATTTTAGTTATACCTACAATTTTGTTATTTTTTAAAGGAAATTTGATAAATACAAGCTTTTAATGGGGCATTTTAAACTTTTTTGCGGTTAAACTAGTTGCTTAATACAAGCTCAAATTAATGAGATTGATCCTAAAAAGTTTAAAATTTTCTCGTGAAAAGCTTCCATTCACCAATTCCGATCAAAATAAATAATAAAGTTGGCATCATGATCAAATTGGTTCAACTTTAGTTAGTTGATGGACTAAATTGAACTATTTAGAAACAAACAATTATGACTGATTTATATAATCTAATATATTTATCATTGTTATGTATTAGAATATTCATGACACATGAGAGAATTTATATTCTAACATTGCAAGAAAATTCTACACATAAGAATAAATAGTTTGCAACACATAAGAGATATGGGATATTTTATATGAAAACCCTAAAAAATGGAAAACCCATTAGGCCTTTGTTGGAATAATTTCACTTATGTAAATTAAAAATCATAATGACTTTCCTTTCTTTGTTGTCGGAGGAGCCATGATTTAATGTTCGGATTATAGGAGTTGTCTCCTTAATAGGCAGTTGAGAATGCTGATAGGTTGACAGTTAAATGATGGATGGCAGTGGACATTGGTGTTAGTAAATAGAAGTGAGTTCTACACTAAGTTGTGATTAGAACACTTTTTTGACTAGTTTAACCAATTGAATCAAATTGTCCTAATTTAATACAAATTGGCCTTAGGGTCAAATTAGTTCCCTCTTAAGCCAAAATTTAACCTAATTAACTTTAATTTTATCAACTAATCAGGCTAAGCCTTATTTTCCTAGCCTAATTTGTGGGATGATGGACTAAATTCACTATCTCTTCAAATCTTCTAACTATTTGTTAGTTTATACCTATGGAAGGGAGAGAGAATCCTATAAGATAGATAGCTAAAACCCTACCATGATCCCCAAATTGAATCAAATTGCAATCTAAGCTTTCAAATAATATATATAAGGACCTTAATAGGAACCTCCAGCTTGCTAATGCTTAAAAGTATATGTATATATATATATATATATATAAACCTAGAAGAAGTTCTTAGACTTAGGAAATCCCAATGTTGGGGACCATGTTTAATGCACATAAGAAAATCATGAGTTCATGTGTTGGTAGCTTTTAAGAATTAATACCCCAAAACCCCATTTGAATTGTTGCATTTGAGTCTCAGTTTTATAATAATTTTGAATTGTATATGAAGCACTATAGTGCTAGGTATTAGTTTTGCTAGCCACTAATGGTGTTTTTATTAAGTATCCTTGTCACTATCTCTCTCACTCATCCACTCTTATTTCCTTGCCCTGGAAGAGATCGAAGTAGGAGAAGAAGGAAGGGAGAGAAGAGGAGAGAGAAAGTATGTAAGGGCCTTTTTTAGTCTAATGTTCCTTTTATGAAAATTATTCTAAGCACTATTAGTGACTACCCTCTTACTTATATTCTCAATGGTTTTAATTTTTATAAATTTATCTCTCCAAAGTCAGTCAAAAATACATTATCTCCTAAGTTTGTAAGCTTTTATCACCTAATTTTTAATATATTATAGATTTGATCATTCTGAATAATATGATATGATCTTATTGTATTTTTATCTATTAAAAATGTGTATATGAACTTCTTTGTAAAATTTTAGGAAAATATATATTGAAAATGGGCTGAATGTGGTATATTATGATTTAATATGATAATATTACAATATAATATTTACTAATATGATTGCTATGATGATATGTACTGGAATGTGATATTGATTAATATTAGATATATGATATGACAACCTAATGTGATAACATCAATATTCACTGATTCACTTATAAGAGTCATAAGAAATTGGAGGCTAATTATGATATAAGGAGTCGGGGCGACTGATCATGTGATTCAAGGGGAGTTGTAAGAAGTACATTGATTGAGAGTCATAAGTGCATGAGTAAGATATCTTTTTTTAAATACTTGATAGAATATTGATTACTAGTACTAAATATTGATTACTGATTATTGATACTGATTATTATTATTGTTTATTATTACTTACTATGAATACTGACACTACTGTATAATTGTATAACATATAAGCTAACGAGAATGATTGAATGATAATTGATAGTAGTGATAGGTACATATAGCATCTATTGATTTGTATATTTTCTCATACGATTTACAATATACTTTTTTTTTGTCTTATATTAATTTCAATTATTTGCTAGGCTTTTATACTCATTATGTCACGCTATTACATATATTATTTTTGTGACGCCCCAGAATCTAATTTGAAAAAAATTATTATTTTTTTTATCTTTTAAAATCAACATTAAAGCTATATTCTTTTTTTATCAATAAAATATCAGCTGAAATAAAACTAATAATCAAAACATCAAAATACATTTACTTTCTTAAGTAAAAGATATAAAGAAATAAACTAATAGTAAATAAGAATAATTTTGATCTAATCAATCTAACAGTGTTAATCCTCTGCCCTGATCTAAAATATCTAAAATTACATATAATGAACTAAAAAGTCCAACAAGCCAACAAATCCTACAATTAACTCAAAGAACTATAAATAAATAGTATGCATGTCATCAATCAATTCATAATATTAGTAATCATATGATCATTAATTGATATAAAATGGTAAGATGCACTTATAGTATCAATATGAAATGTAAACAATAAAATATTATAGTATGAAAGTTAGTATAACAGTACAGTGGGAAAACTAATAAACCAGTATGAGATCAAATCGATAAAATAGTTATCATATTTGTATTATCAATCAATAAAAAATTATATAAAAAGATAAGATCAAAATATCGATAAAAATGATCGAAATCATATCAATATAGTAAAATCTTATAATGATGTACATATAATGTTCAATTATTCTATATTGATATCTTAATCATGTGCTCAGTATATCACATGTTCAATATCAATATAATGAATCAATATCATTAATCAGTATAGTGAATCAATAGTTGTATTGAATAATATCGATGTCTATATCAGTAGCAATATCAATATAATGTTAGTAAAATTGGTGATATAACTTTAAATCAATGCAATAATAGTAAATTAATAAATAATAACATTAAAGTAGTAAAATCATATAGTAACAATAATAATGAGTCAATAATATGCATTTAAGTAGTCACACTAAATAAAAAAAAGTATTGGTTTAAGTAGTTTTTTTCAATAAGCAGTAATCCGTATCAATATCTCATTGACTCAGTAGATAGAGTAGTCAGTCTTTGCCCATCGACACACTAATTATCTTCTTATAACTCCTAGTCAATATCACATGAATAAGTAGAGGATAACACTAAACTATAGTATTTAAAGAAAAATTTGATGGCCCACTTTCCTGTACATATCAGTTAATCTCCAACCAACGTCAGTAAATCAACTTTTACTTATCCTCACACATATAATTATATTTGTAATATAACAATAATAGTAATGAACCACTACTTAAACATATACCCACATTTATTTTTAATGCCTATATTAATAATATAATTACAATTAAAATATTAGTTATTCAATTAGTAGAAATAATATAAAATATAATAACTTTCATTTTACCCGATGAAATTTAATAAATATTATAGTTAGAATGTCCAACATAATCAATATGATAAAACACAAAAAGTTGTGCGTAAAAGTTCAATAAATCTAAGAAAAAAAATAAAATCAATTATGAGAGAATCAAATAGTTAAAATAAAAATTTTGAAAACAAAGATTGGATTGGAATCAGCTACAGTGATCTGAGCAATTTTTACAAAAGCGGCAAAGCGATCTGACCACTAAAAATCGATTTTATCCCTTTCACTCTAACGCGCTGCAATTCAAAAAGAAATTCAATTTTTTTTCCCAATTTTTTAAAAAATTCAAATTGTTACAATTTTGGACCTAGAGACAAAATATAAATATCGACTACTATAGTTATGTGGATTATATTTTTCACAGTTGTATATTTCTTTAATGCAATTAATCAGCTCTAGATGTCAAATTTATCTAGTTATAAATGACTATTGATTGTTATTGATGACCTGACAAGGATAATAAAGAGAAAAAGAAAATAAATTATTTTACTTCAGATCCTATGACGTGACAAAAACTATCTCATACAAGACCTTAGTTTGTTAGGTTTAATACATTTATATTTTTACAAATACATAGATGCTTGAAACCTCAAATAGTTTCTTC